ACTTTTGTTGTTGGTTCATTTCTGCTTTGGGATTTATTAAAAAATGCAATCCAGACCAGTTTCAGCTGAGCTTGTACACTGCGCGAAAAAGCCCAGCTCTTTATTATAAAATGAATGGGCTAGGTTTTGTGGATCTTTTTTTTTATCAATATTTTTAAATTATAAATAAATAAATATAAATAATAGGAGCAAATAAGTACTTAAATATCTTAGATCAAGAGCTGCACTTGAATCACATTACATTAAGGAACTTCGGGTTTGCATAAAAGCTTGTCGAAATAAGCATTTCTTTTTCGTCGAGTGTATAATATCAATATTGTATAATAGACATATATATAGAGCATTGCAGGGTCCTTGCCGGTTATGCCTCACTTGTACACAGAGCCTTGGACCATTGCATAGTTAACGGGCCATGCAGAGAAAATATATTTCATCAGCTAGCTGCAAATGTATCTGACAGATACGCGTGCCGTCCTCGCCAGTCTCTCGGTCTCTACGAGTGTGTGTTTTTTTTTCTAAATCGTTTCTCAAATCTTCTAAGATATATATATATACATATAATACACATAAACACGCGCAGCACAAGCGACAGCAAGCGAGTTTCTTTATGCTGTATGTCTATCTATACCTCGAATTGTAGGTAGTACATACAGATACATGTGTATATACGATATATACCTGCAAGTGTGTGTGTGTGTGTGCGCCCAACTGATTTATATTAACCGAAAAAATGTACAGAGCAAATGCTGCTGCTGCCGTCGCTGCTGCTGCTGCTGGCGTCGGCGCAACGCACGTTTGATGTTGTAGATACTTTTGTTGTTGCTGTAGATACTTTTGTTGTTGCTGGCCAGCCAAGTGCGAGTGTATCTCGGGCCTCGACAACAACGACGACGTCGACGACGCCACTCAGCACGTTCATTATGGCATTTTGTCAGATACAAAATTCAGATTCTCGGGCGCGCGCGCGCGCGTGTGTGTGTGTGTGTGAGTAGCTGTGTGTGTGTGTGTGTGTTGCTGCTGTGGTTTGTTGCGCGATAAGCATACGGATATGTCAGTTAATTATTTGTTTATATTTTTCCCTTTTTTTTATTTTTCGCTGCCTTTTTTTATATACACAAAGTACATGTGTTTATTCTTGCAGTGTATGTGTATGTAAGCGTTAGTACATAGCACACATATATGTTTATATATATATTGTCGCCGCTGAATATATATATATATATATATATATATATAATACACATATGTGCATGTTCATGTTCTGTTTAAGATTTTATGCTGATTAAAGCATTTCGTGTTGTTTTTTTGTAGTTTTGCAATCAAATTGCTTAAAAAGTGTTTGCAAAAATGTATTCAAACGTTTTACAACACTTAAGAGTAGTTCGGCTGGGTATAAATATACATACAGCACTTCAATTTTCGACTCGCTTCCTAATTGAATTCCTTCCAAAAGGTAATTAAGTATGCATCAGCTGAGCCTTATAGAAACTCATCTATTTTCATAGTATTTTTAATGCCTTTTAAACTTATCCGGCCCGAGTTTATGTCAGCTAAGTCCTCAATTACTTTAATCGATTTGATAAAAAGTAACTTAAATTAAGTTCAAAGTTCGCAAAACGCAAACTTTTCGAAATCTTCAAATGACGTTAACAGCGGCAAGGCGAGCCCACCCCCCACACACACACAACCAGCCCACACACCGATGCCACGCCCCTTCTGCTCGGTTTACGTGCAGATGTTTTGCAGCAAGTGCAGCTGCAACTGTTGGCGCTGTGGCAGCAGCGGCAACGAAACAGGCGACTAGAAAGAAAGCGCAAGCAAAAAAGCTCCACAATACACACAGATACACACACACACACACACACACACACAACAATGCACAGCGTGCAAGGGGAGAGGGGGGTGGGGGAAGGCGAATTGACGCTGATGAAGAAAGCCATAAACCGGTGCAAATCGTTGTTGTTGTTGCTGTTGTTGTCTCTGTTGCCGTGGCCGTCTCTGGCTTTGGCTGCGGCTCTTGGCAATTTCGATGTGCAACATGCAGCGTGCAACTAATCGCAACAGCTGAGCGCCTGTTACGCAGCGTCTGCCAAACACCTGGAATGGGGCATACAATTTCGGGATAGCCGCAGCGCCCGACAGCAGCAACAGCACAGGGAATATAATACACCGCAAAAAAAAAGAGTTGGGTTTTAATTTTAAACAAAATTGTGTTTTCTTTTATATGCATATAAAACCAGCTTGGCATTTTGAGACTTTAATTAAATTTAAAAAAAAAAAGGATATTTACTAATTGAAAGTACTTTTTATTTTTGTAATTAAATTAAAACGCGCTGACGACAAAAATAACGAAAAATGTGTTTGGTTCGGGGCGGAGTCGAACCATGGATCGCGCGTTCGCCAAGTGTCAGTCGTTCCATTGAGCTGCCGCTTGTAACCGAACTAAAAGATTTTAATTCAACTTTTTTTTTTAAAAGACATAAATTTGAAGTGCATTTGCATGCTTTAAAGCTTAAGATAAATTTAGAAATAATTTTTAGTTAAGTCCAAATACTTAATATTAAAAAAAAAAAACAGATTTATGTGCTGAGTGGTTTGTATACGATTAGAATTTTCGCTGAGTGTATTTAATGTTTGAGCGAGAGAAAAAGCAGCTCTCGTTAAACGAATTGTTCAAGTGACCTAGTCTTTCAGGCAGTTGGAAAAAGAGGTGGCTGGTTCGAATCTCAGGCTAGTCTTATAATAACAATTGCTAGAAAAATCATAATAGTTTAAAAATTAGAATAACAATATAAATAAAGACAACTTCTTCTGCGTGCTGCTCAGTTTTAGCTGCAGCTTTGCTCAAGGGCTGTCTTCGAGTCGATTTTGTTGTTGTTGTTGTTGTTGTTGCTGTTATTGAGGGGATGTTTCGTATCGGTTCAACTTGCATTGAACGCGAGGGTTCACTGTCCCAAACTGTGGGAGAAGCAGCGACAGCAGCAACAACAGCAAAGCTTTGGCAAAGCGAAACCTGTTTGCTCGCCCGGCGGCAGCAACTGTAGAAGCGGAGGCAAGCAAGGGGCAGGCGGGAGGCGGCAGGCAGCAGGCGGACGGCTGGCAGCATTGACCTCAACTGAGTCAACGACAAAATATGCCAGTCCGCAGGCCGCAGGGATCAGGCAATCGAAATAATGCAGAACATGGTGCGAAATATTTAATACAGAAATGCCACAGCCAAATGGCTAAAAAGAAGCTGCTGCCAGTTGTTGTTGTTGTTGTTGTTATTATTGTTATTGTTGTTGCAACTGCAGGCGAAACCAGTTTTGGAGTCAAATACTATCCCAATGCGGCGCATCTCTCGCTTAGGCCACCTACATTTGTGTGGGCCTTAGACAACGGCTAAGCCTAAGCTGCGGCAATAGCTGGCTCAGCTTAATTGGGTCATTCACTTGCTCGACACACACACATACACACACAGAGGCACACACAACATTTGAGCCAGAGCAACTTCCGGTACAACAAGACGCAGACACTCGAACATACGAGACAAAGACAGCAGACAGAGCGAGAGAGAGAGAGAGAGAGAGAGAGAGAGAGAGAGAGAGAGAGAGGGAGAGCGAGAGCAAAACAGCGTGCGTTAACTTATGGAAGCGACTCGAAACATGGTTAAAGTCTTTAATCCATAAATACCGGAACATATCCGTTACGCGCAACGCCGGGCAATTCTTTCGGTATAACATACATCTCAAAGCATTCATGTTGTTCGGAGTTTTATTGATTGATTGAGCTATTTAAATTTCAGTTATCTTTACAAATAACTTTTCAATGTTTAGCCTTTAAAATGAAATGTTCCCAAGTCTCAGGACCTTAAACTGTCATAACAACGTCAGAATGGAATTAATTTGTTTTAACATTACATTTTAAACATATCTTTTAACCTTATAAAACTCATAAAAGCATTGTCCAACTTGTCTAGTCTAAAATAAACAAACAGCTCTCTTTCCCGCTCTCTCTCTCTACTTGGCTCTCTTTTATCTTCTTTTCCTCAGTTCCTTGAATGCTGTTATGGGAATTTGATTGATTTAATCGGCATCCGCATCGAGCGTTAGCTGGAATGTGAGAGAGCACTTTCTCTGCCTTTCCATTTACTCCGCTCACTCGCTCTCTCAGCTGCAAAGAAAAGAAAAGGATCAAGCAAGGACAGCAACGCAGACAGCAGCAGAAGAGCCAAAGACCGAAAAAGAGGGCTAGAGAGCGAGAGAGAGAGAGAAGCAGAGTCAACAAGAAAAAGGCAAATAAAATGTTAACCTAACCAAAGCCGTAAAAACTCAACCGACAACTTTTCGAGTCAGCAAACGCTGCCAGCGTCGACGCTGACGTCGACGTCGACAGCAGCAGCACATCCATCATTCGTCGTAGTGTGCAATGCGAGCTAAACTCCAAAGAAAATCCAGGCAATTGTTTCTAGAGAGCAACAAGAACAACAACAACAAAATGCAATCGCCGTTTCGCAAGCGCTCTTCGAATTGCTTTGTTACGAGGGTTGCCACACAGTTTAACGGCTGTCATTAGCTTTTACATCGATTTTTGAGTGTCATAGTGTTTAGCTTTTCTTTGTCTGAGGCAGACTCAGACTCAGACTTTGCTGAGCTGCCCTCGCATCAATTTGATAATCGCATTAGGCAAGACTGTTGTTGTTGTTGTTCGTTCGTTGTTGTTGCTGCTGGAGTTAGAGTAGACCCACTTAAACTGGTCCGCAGCTTGATCTATTTTTAGTTTAGCCGAAAGCTTTTGCAAAGCTCTTGCAAAAGTTCACAAACGCAACGGAACGGCAATCAATGTGAAGTAGTTAATGGCCAAGGTCTTGATTCGCCCACCCACACACACACACACACACACACACACAGGTATACGGGCACAGGCACACGCACACGCACACACAATAAGTAAGGAGCAGCAAATAAAGAGAACGAGGTATACAAATAAGAAGCAGCAACAGCGCAGCTTTTGTCACTTACCCAACATTAGCACGGGGCTTGGCGATAATCCAATTTGATTTTATTTTTATTATTAGTTTGTCATTTCAATGAGTACGACGCGCACAAAAACAACTACAACGACAAAATTATTAGATTGCAAACAACAACAACAACAAGAGCAGCACGGAAATCAGTTCAAAATTGCGGCCGCTGCTACTATGTGTGTGTGTGTATGTGTATAAAAATCAAAACAAAACACGACAAAAACACACACACACACGCAAAGTGAGAGAGCGACGGCCACTGAGAGTGCGAGCATAGAAAAAGAACAACAACAACAACAACAACAAATTAAGATGCGATCCCTGCCGCTGTACAGTATTGTTGTTGTTATTGTTGCTAATATTGCTGCTGTTGATCTTGTTGTTTCTTATGGCTGCCTTTTGTTTTGACTGCAACATGTTGAATGTTGCAGCCAACACACAAGCACAACACACACACAAACATGCACACATACACAACACACACGCACTCACACTGCGTCCAGAGACTGGCCCTAACGGTAAATGTAAAAACAACTCAAGCAGCGCATAACTGAAACTCGCAATAAATATGTATATGAAAATATTTGATAAGCTGCATTTGATTTAATTAACACATTTAACATAAGCAATTGCACTTTGCATGAGCATCGGGTTGTTTCGTCTTGTTGTTGTTTGTTTTGGGATCACACTAAAAGGACGCGCGCTAATAAACTCACAAATGTATTGGGAAGCCATACAATTTTATGTATTTTATTTAAATTTTGGTCACTTTGTTAAACACACAATAAACACTAAACGTACACAGTTCTTGTTTGTTAAATGTTCGATTCATTAAACGTAAATATGCGCGAGAAATATACGAAACTCCAAAAAGGGCACAAAAAAACACCGCGTACGTGCTCTGCATACAACAGAAAAAAAAGCGGCACTGACGCGGTGTGACCGTACTTGGTAAAACGTATATTGCCACAGTGCAGAAACACAAAGCGAAAAAAAAGGCCATACAGCAAGCAGTGCTGCAAAGTGCCACTCAAACGATATATCGAATTGCTCAACGTGCTGTTACAGCTTATAATTTGAATTTAAATGGTAGATAAATATGCCACATAATTTAATGTACTTACTGCACCTTGATCTTTGCTTCAACCAATAAAATTGCAGTGCGTTCGGCATATTGTTAGTGTTATCGATAAGTTCGCGCAGCAAAAATACCAAAAACCCAGCCGATCTGGCAACCTGCACAGCTGTTTAAGTTTGCAATTTTTCATACATTTATGTTTTCGTTTTGCAATTTTATGTTTACAAATTTATTTGCATTTTAAATGCAAACATGAACAACGACTGGCCGGGCGACGACGCCGCATTCGATTTGGCATTAAATGATGAAGCCTTGGGTAAACTACTAGATGCACAAACGCAGCAGCAGCCGGCAAACATTAGTCCAGAGTTCGAGGGCTTTGATGAGAGCTGCGGCAATAATTGGCTCTATCCGAGCAATTTGCCGCTTCGCTCGTATCAGCACAGCATTGTCCAGGCGGCGCTCTATCGGAACACTCTGGTGGTGCTGCCTACAGGACTGGGCAAGACATTCATTGCATCCGTGGTGATGTATAATCTGTATCGCTGGTATCCCGAGAGCAAGCTGATTTTCATGGCGCCAACTCGTCCCCTGGTCTCACAGCAGATTGCCGCCTGCCAGAAGATAATGCCCTTTCCCGCCGAGGACACGGTGGAGCTAACGGGCCGTTTGCCGCGTGCCAAACGCGCTGAGCTGTGGCAGAGCAAGCGCGTCTTCTTCGCCACGCCCCAAGTGGTGCAGTCGGACATGCTGGACACGGGCGATGGCATGCAGTTCCCATACATGTCCATCAAGCTGCTGGTGGTAGATGAGGCGCACCGGGCCAAAGGACGATATGCATACACACAGGTGGGGGCTTCTAAAGCTAGTCTCGGCTTTGCCCAGGCAAAGTATTTCCCAGGACATCATTGATTCCCAGTCAGTCAATCATATTGTTAATCTAGCTTCAATTCCACAGGTAACAGAATCCATCATGGCACGCAATCCATACTTCCGCATGCTGGCCCTGTCCGCGACGCCTGGACGCACCATGGACGATGTGGCAGCTGTGTGTCGAAATCTGTACATTTCGCATCTGGAGGTGCGCTGGGAGGAGTCGATTGATGTGCGGCAGTACGTGCATAAGCGCAGCATGCGCACAATTGTTGTGCCCCTCAAGGATCGCATCAAGGAGCCGCGTGCGCGTCTGCTGGAAATCATTGATCCCTATCTGCGCCAGCTGATTGCGGCAAATGTGCTTAAGAGCGCACGTGGCAACATCTCGCGCAACAATCTGCTGTACGATCAGAGCCGCTTCCAGGAGCGTGTCGCCAACGGGGAGCGTCATCCGGAGCATAGTCTGATTGTCAGTAATTTTGCCATGTGTATCAGCCTGTATCATGCCATGGAGCTGCTCGAGCGGCACGGTCTGCGCGTCTTTGTCAACAATTTCGATGCGGACGAGCATGGACGGGATAAGTTTGTGCTGAAGGACGTGGCGCTCAGGGAGCTAGTGGAGCACGTGCGCCAGCAGCTGGGCTCCAATCCCCTAGACTTTTCCACGCACGCGATGACCAATGGCCAGGTGGCGCCGCTGCCTGCAAGCCTGGACTTTGGACATCCCAAATACGAGCAGGCGCGTCAGGTGCTGCTCCAGCACTTCGAAGTGAGCCCAAAGTTTGATTCCAAAGATAACTCGTGTTGTTATATATTCCCTTTCGTTCTATTCCAGTCGCATGTCGATTCGCGTGCCATTGTCTTCTGCGAGTATCGTGAGTCCGTGATGCTGATTCAACGTTTACTGCTGCAGCACAGGCCGCTGGTGCGTCCGCGTTGCTTTGTGGGCCAAAGCTCCGGCGGCAGTGGGATTTGTGCTCTGACCCAGAAGGAGCAGCTGCAGATAATGTCGGACTTTCGCCAGGGCATTACCAATGTGTTGGTGGCCACCTCGATTGGCGAGGAGGGCCTCGACGTGGGCGAGGTGGAGCTGATTGTGTGCTTCGATATATCCAGCTCCAATCCGACGCGATTTGTGCAGCGCATTGGACGCACGGGCCGGCAGAAGCGCGGCGACGTGGTGATGCTGGTCACCGAGGGACGGGAGCAGCAGTTGCTGAAGGAGATGCTGGCCAACAAGGATCAAACAATTCGCAAGCTCCTGCAATCGACGCTGGTAAAAAGCGCTCTGTATCAGCACGCCCCACGCCTCGTGCCGCCGCAGTTTCATCCGCGTTGCGAGCAGCGTTTCATGGAGCCGGCACAAGTCAAGCCGCAGCCACCGTCGCCTGCAAACAAAGTGCGTGGCAAGCAGCTAAAGCAGGCAACGGTCGGGTGCCAGGATCTGCGCAAATATTTTAAGCAAAGCCAGGACAGGTTTCTGCAGGGTGAACCCACCTATAAGGCGAGCGCGGCCTCTCAGCAGCTGCTGCAGGAGCAGGCGGCGCGGCACAGCGTGCCTATCAAGAACTTTCTGCTCGACACGCAGCCGGGCACCCCAGCCGAGGCAGCTGCACCAGCCAATGAGAGCAGCTCAACAAGCAGTAGCCAGGAGCTGATGCAGCGTCTGCGCAAGATAGCACGCCTGCTGCAGGCCACGAAACCGCTGGTGAGTGACTCGCAACGCAATCAGGATTTGCAGGCGCAGCTGCAGGACAAGCAGCTGCCGGCTGCTCTCAAGCTTTATCTGCTGGAATCGAATGTCGGCTTCGTGCGCGATATTCATGCCAAGATGCTGGAGCAAATGCAGCGGCAGCTGCCGGCTGCGCGTCTGAACTCACGACAGCAGCGCACGCGACGCATCTACGAGCTGCTGCAGGCGGTCTGCGGCGAGCACCTGGAGCGGCTCCTGCAGCCGGAGTCAAGCGGCGCGGAACTGACCCTGCAGGATTTGCTGCAGCCAGACGATGAGCAGCAGCGCTTTGAGGCAGACTGCGTGCATATATTTGCTGGTCTGCGGGAGCAGGGCCTGTGTGCGGATAACCATGAGCTGCTGCAGCAGCAATTGGAGCAACTGGAGCTGCGTCGCCTGGAGCAGACCATGAAGGAGCAGCTGGGCGACGAGTCGACGGGCATCTACGAGGATTGGCAAGAGCAGCAGCTGGCGGAGCAGGACTCGCTGCTGGCAGACGCTTCTGTCTATCAAAGCCAATGGGCGAACTCGGTGCAGACCGCGGAGCACAGCTCAACGCCGCTGCGAGTGAAGCAGCTGCCACTGCAAGACGACTCCAGGGTGGAGTCCAGCCAGCTGAGCGCTAATCTTAGTCGCCTCAATTGCCTGATGAGTGCGGCCAGCACGCCACTCAACAAAAAGCTGGACAAGCACTCGCTGCTGGCAGAGCTAGATGAAGATCTGTCCACCTTTGATGAGCTGGCCAATCAGCAGCAACAGCAGCAGGAATGCCAGCCCAAGGCAGTTGAAGCCATGCCGGAAGCACTCGACATCGATCTCAATGATTTCTTGGAACCGCTGCCCGAGGAGCAGCTGCTGCAGCAACAGGAGCAACAGCCGCTCGTCTTGTCAGCGGCAACCACGCCGCGCAACCTATCGCCTGATCTGTTCTCGGAGGACTCCATGTCGCCCTGCAAGCCCACAACAACAGCGCCTGCTCCAGCCAGAAGCTTAGCCGCCAAACTGGCCGCCAAATCCACGGCTACTGTGCCCGCCGAACACTCGCCGGTGCGTACTAGTGTGCCCGTTGGCCAGGAGAAATCGCCCAGCATTTTTGAGAATTATCTGCGACGCATGCGCGGGCGTGGTCAGCTGTCCAAGGAGGCGCAACGTATACATCGCATGACCAGCTTGGCAACTGTTAATGAAGCTGAAGCTGGTGCCGCGCCTGTCCAGGAAGAGGATGATTCACCAATAGTGCGACGCCGGCCAGCTAAGCGAAAGATCTATGACACATTCGACGAGGAAGAGCAGGAGCAGGCCAAGGATGAGTCAAAGTGCGTGCTCGCCACGCAGCTTCTGGCGGAGGACAGCTTTGAGCAGGTGCCCGCCACTCAGCTGGTAAGTGCATCAATTCCCTCTTTAGTTCCATGTCCAATTATTCCTTATGCACAGCAGGAGCTGGTGACGCCGCCGCGTCGCAAACGTGCCAGGTTCAATGCGTTCGTTCTGCAGGAGGCGGAGCAAAGTGGCTCCGATCACGAGGAGGATGAGGATGCGGAACGCACCTACGGCGCTTACCTCAAGGACTCCGTCATTGTGTCCAGCGAAGATGAAGGCCACAACGATACCACGACACATGCCATGTATCTGCAGGCGATGAAGTAAGTCTTGGCTCGCCCGAGTTGCCATTTACCCAACTGATACCATGTCTTTTTCCTTGCCAGGAGTCCAGTGCATCGACCGGGCGCCTTTAAAATGCCTGCGCCCCGTGCGTTCCACGATGAATCGATTTTCTCCCAGCCCGTGGAGGCGGAGCCATCGCAATACTATCCCTGCTCGTTTGTGGTGAGTGATGAGAGCGAGGCGGATGACAAGCACGACATATCCGAGTGCCCGCTGGAGCGTGCCGAACGCATTCTCAAGGAGCAGCGACGCCAGCGACGACGTGGCGCCCCAATCGACCAGAATCCGCCAGCTGTCAGGAGCAAGCGGCGGCGCATTCACACGCTGAGCGATTCCAGTGACGATGATGTTGTCTACGTTAAATGATTGAGCCTTCTCTTGTGTATACCCTATAACTGACCGAATTTATTCCCTGTTAAGACTCAGGCTTAACGTGCTCCAGAGACGATGTCAATTGATTAATCAAAGTGCTGCCAGCGTTAGCTCTCTTTTGTATACCCTGTACTTTACTTCACTTATACCCTGTTGAGACTAAGGCTTAGACGATGTTGACGTTGTCTTTGTCAATTGAATATTCCAAGTGCCAGCTCTGCTTTATATACACTACCTCTCGTTTGTATACCCCATACTTAACTTCATTTATACCCTGTACAGACTCAGGTTTATGTTATAGGATGACGTTGTTAAATGATTAACCCGAGTGCGACCAGCTCTGCTTTATTGAAGGTGCCATTGTGCACACCCTATAATGTTAACTTTAGTTAGTTTATACCCTGTAAAGTCTTAGGTTTTTCGTTTGTGATTTAACGCATTAGTTAAAGTACTTTATTTTACGTGTTTGTTTAATACTTTGGTTTTTATATGTATGTGGTTCCAGGTGTGCAGGAGCTTCAAAGAGAATAATTAGAAAATTACGTTCGTTTAGTCTTTAAGTCTTGTGCCATGTACCTTAAATCAAATCTGTGAATGTACTTTCAAGATGTTAGTTCTGATGTACCTATTATGATAATAATAATGTTTTATATCATTTTGCAAGTCCCTATGCATTTTAAATGGGGCGCAAAAAGGTTTGTCAAGTCTGCTCACCTGTTCCAGGGGCGCCTCCTAGACCAAGTAGCTGCGCGCTGGCGTCTGATAGTCGCTGGCAATGGGCTTGAAGGTTGTGTTATGGCGCTGCTTGTAGAGATCCCTGGGCTGGACGTACAGCTCCTTGAAGTCCTCGCTGCTCACATGCCGGCTGGCCGAGCCCAGGCACATGCCGCCGCTTTGGCCATGGCCGCGCAGCTGCACCTCCGACTCATAAATGTTGTCGACGAGCGCCTGGCGCGACTTGGCTGTGGTGCGGCGTCTGCCCTTTTGGCTGAATGCCTGAGAACGCGGGCCAGTGTCCAGTCTGGCGCGCCGGGACGCAATGCCCGTGCAGGTGAGTATAATGCCCAGCAGCACGCTGAACTCGACCAGCGCGAGGACAAGACTGGCGGCCAGAAAAATGCCATACTGCTCGCGATACCAGCCATCCAGATGCACCAGGCAGGATTCTGTGTAGCGCTCCCGCTCGTAGACGGACCGTTCCAGCGCCTGGCACTGCGTCTCATTGGCGGGCTTGGGATCAAGAAAGGCTAGCGGCTGTGGCGCATTGGCCAGCACGCAGCAGCTGAGCGGAACGGGCCAGTTGCGCTGGCCATAGCTCTGGAGGCGCCACAGCGAGTTGTCGTAGTCCAAGGAACTTCGCATGCCGCAGCAGCCGAAACGGGTTTGGGCCAGGTCCATGGCATTGGTGAACTGCTCCTGGCCGGGCACGCCATAATTGCGCTGTAGCGCCTTCACCATCTGCCCTTCGTCCAAGCTGATGCCCAGGCAGTGCGGCCAGAGTGTGATGGCCAGGCAAATGACAGACTCCGCCAGCAGCAGCACCACCACGCTCAGAAAGTAGATGCTGAGGAAGCAGTAGGTGTGCAGGCAGCTCGCCCAGAAGCCCAGCACCGCCGCCAGCACAGCCGCAAATCCGGCTATGGCCAGACCCAGTGCGATGTAGTACAGCAGCGGCTGGGGCAGCGAGTTCAGCTGCTCGCTGGGCGCCGCCAGGAGACGTGACAGCAGAATGCGTTTGCTATCCGTATACAGATAACAGCCTGCCACAATCAGCAGCGTGCCACAGAGCTGGAAGAGAGCGAAAGAGAGAGAGAGAGAGAGAGTGTGTGTGTAAACAAAAGACAACTTCTATTATTATTATTGTTGATGTTGTTGTTGTTGTGTGAAAAGCATGAGGTCTGCGCGCACGCAACGGAAGTTGGAGCTCGCCTGCCCCCATTAACCCCTGCCCATTTCCTATATGAGATGTTACCTGCTCGCAAATACCCTAAACCCAATGGAAAGGCTGTTGTTCAGAGGAAACGTCTGTATCTCTCGATAAATGTCACGATCTCAAAGATTCTGAGACCCACAGTCTTCATTTTTGGTAAACAAACATATTTAAATATCCTCTTTTAGCCTTGGAAATTTCATTATGATCTGTCTGTAGACATAAAAGTTATCTACCAGTTAATACAGTTAATTTCGTCAAGTTGTCTACAGGGTATTTGCTAGTCGTATACCCTCGACTGGAGTTTTTTTTTACTGGTGCCAAGTTGCGCCTGCGCTTGGTCCGCCCGTTTGGCAGCCAAAAAGCGTTGGCGAAAAACTTTTGGACTCCTCCTCCTACTCCTCCGCCTCCTCCATCTCCGTCCTCTGCCTCATTCAAATAGTTTCAATCAGCCAAGCAGAACATAAAATAATACAACAAAATCGAGCAAGCAAAATAGTGTAAAACGCCAGAGAGACGAAGAGCGTATGCTCTAACAAACTCAGGTGTGTGGCGGGAAGATAGGAGTTAAGTGGACCCGAGATAAGATAAGTTGAAAAACCGATCTTGTGTCAACTATTTGGCTGGCTATTTTGATAAGTTAGCTGGAAAAACTGATTTGATTTTAGAGGGATCCTCGTTAACTGACGGCGCGACAACCTATTAGAGAAGTTGCTGGTTCGAATCGCAGGCCAGAAACCCTTTAGGTGCCCTATATGTTGACCAAGGTATCACAGTGCTTTTTGTAAACTTATTGTTTACCTTATTCCTAACTTCTTTTTAGACTTCTATAATCAGGAACTTATCCATGGTTACATGCTGTTCAAAATCCAATTGCCTTATAATCTTATTAGTATTATAATCCTATTATTTGCCTGCTCCTTGACTTCATTTTAGATTTCTATAGTCAGGAACTATTCCAGTTTTTATTTACTTATTTATGGTTGACATGAACGAGTGTCTTGCTAATTATTTAATACATCAAATTATGAAAATTAGATGTATAAATCCCAATTAGAATACAGCATTTTCCAATAGAATCACCGACCAATGGAGTTGTTTGATTTGCCCATTCGGCCAGCTATATAGGGCGAGTATGCCCTAACTCCTAAGTCGATTTTTTTTAAATTCTTGTAAACATCATCATATAACCATGGTACCCCTTATTTTACACCCAACTGAACTGAAACAAATGGAGTTTTACACAAGTAATTTGGGCAGCTTGTGACGAGTATAGGGCCTAGATTTCACCTCATCTATGTATCAGAGTATACATATATATCTATCTATGTATATATATACCTGTGCTAGACTTACCAAAAACAACAGGTTGCAAAAGTTGAGCACAAACTTGTGATTAAAACAGCGCCCCATTTCGCTGTTGTTGTGGGTGTTTCTTAATTAATTAAGTGAGTTTTAAGACAATTGAGCGGTCAGCGTTTTGTAGCATGTGGCATGTGGCAAGCCTCGTTCGTTTCACATAGATTGTTCTTTTCTTTATGTCATTTCTGCGGCTGGGCAGCTGTTTAAGTGGAAATGCACAAAATGCAGCGACAGCGATTTTTAATTTTCAACGGTTTTTCTTTCTTTTTTATTTTATAACCAAACGGCGCGCTTGACGGTTGAATATAAACTGAAAAGTCCAAAGCAGCGGCAGCAGCAATTTTGCTGCCCCAAGTTGTGGCAAGTTCACGCGCGAGCGTTGAGGCAGAGCCCAGCTAAGCTCTAACGCTCACATTTCTGTTTACGATCACGTTCTGCCCCTCTCTATCTCTCTCACTCTTACTCTCACAGACGCTCTCTGCCGCTTTCGCTCTTGCTCTCTCATTCTTTTGCTCGGCTGCGTCTGCAGCCGCAGTCAAATGGAACCGTTTGTAAACAATGAAGCAACAACTACAACAACAACAACAGCCATGTGAGCTGGTCAGAACTCTGCATGGAAAACTTGTTGGACAGGCTTATCTTTCTATGCGCGACGGCTGCTTTAAGAGTTTTAAGACATGGCAAATGGATGTGGCTCAAACATATCTATATATTAATTAATATTACTACATTTGTTTATAAATAATTGTCACTTAGTATCTTTGAACTTTTTACTTTTAACACAACTAAAATAAAAGTCATTTTGCGCGAAGAGAAGACGCGAGAACAAATTACAGTACTTTCGATAAGGTACCGCTGCATGTTCGAATATCGAAAGGAATCGAACACAAAGCAAAACCGGCGAGAGCAGCCATTGCTGTTGCTAGCTTATCTAGTTAACGTTCAGACTCAGCACAGCTACTGTACAAACTTTTGGAGCAACTCTCGGAAATGCTCAGTACTGAGCGTGTTCTTTGCGTTTTTGGAGACACTTTAATTGAATTTTCTTGTTGACCTGCGCTTGGTGCGCTCTCTTTATACACTCTCTCCCGCTTGTACTCCCACTCTCGCGCACTCTCTCGCTGCCCACTTTACCGTTGTGATCCACATGGCGCTGGCATATCCGCTGCCGCTGCGCAATACGCCTAGAGCCGTTCCCGGCCCTCCGCCGCCCCGCAAGCACATTAAATCATTCATTACTTCACTCATTTGGGATTGGGGTCAAAGCTGTTGTGGGCGCAACCACTTGCCAAGGGTTGCCTGGGCAATTAGAAATCACCACAGCAGCGGCAAAGATGCAAAGTGTAATCCAAATTGGGCGCTGGGGTTAAGAGGTGCAGCGTTCAATGAACTTGAACATTTTGGAGATGTGGGTGAAAAGCAGATGGGTTTACGCTTGGGTCCGAAAGAGATTAACTTGGGAATAAGCCGATTCATTTATTAACACTAGATTTACCAAACCAGTCGAAATGACTAGCTTACAATTCTATTTGTAAATTGTTGCTTTTTATACCCTGAACCCATTAAAAATGGGTATACGGGTATATTGTATTTGTGCAAAATCCAAATGTATGCAACAGGCAGAAGGAAGCTTTTCCGACCCCATAAAGTATATATATTCTTGATCAGCATCAATAGCCGAGTCGATCTAGCCATGTCTGTCTGTCTGTCTGTCTGTCCGTCTGTTCGTCTGTCTGTCTGTCCGTCTGTCCGTATGTATGAACGCAAGCCTCTCAGAACCTATAAGAGCTAGAGACTTGAAATTTTAGATGTAGGCCTGCGCAGATCGAGTTTGTTTCCGATAATCGATAACTTACTCCGTTTCCAAGCAATCGATAAAAATCGATATCGATATCCTGTTTTTTGGGCAATTTAGGTAAATAATAAGAGCCAGAGTCACCAAACTTGACATATAGCTTCTAAAATAAAATATATATATGCATTTGATGTTGGAAGAAGGGGGTTCAGGGTATCCCCTAGTCGGGAGCTCCCGACTAGAACCTCTTGCTCTTCTTAAAAGTATTCTTAATTATAAAAAAGTATTCTTAATATTCTGAATACGTGTTTCAGCAAGATGGGCAATTCCGCGCGCAACAGTGGTAAACGGTTTAAAAACAAATTTTCAAAGATCTTTAAGAGGGGTATACACGCTATTATTCTATATAGACATAGGTCGAAATTTCCCACTTCGATAACTCGGGCAAATCTCATCCGATTTTCACGAGGTTTAAGTCTTTGCCCATTGGTTGGCCTCTATCTAAATCTGGCAATATAAGTCTTGGTCAAAATTCATGGTCAAATTCATGGCACCCTCAAATATTCTATATAGACATAGGTCAAAATTTACCACAGGCGAGGCTCCAAAATTTAATGAAAACCGAATGCGAAGAATGGCCAAATTTCCCATTGAAATTTGCGTCAAAACTGAAAATATTGTGCCCCATAAGCTTAAGTCGAAAACTTATATACATATATATTTATATTTTTGTATAGGATACAAACACAGTTTGAGTAACCCTTCTTTGGATCAGCTAAGGAAAGTTGCCATCACTCAGAAGACAAAAACAATGCAAATACAAAAGCCTGAGGGTGATGCGCAGCTGGAGAATGGCGAAAATGTGGAAATGGACAACATGCTGTGCGATCTCATCGACATACACAAGGTGAAGGGCAACGAGGAGGCACTCAAGCGTGTCCTGCAGAGCATCTACAGCCAGCTGAACAGCAGCCACGAGGTCAAGTTTGGCACCAAGCTCTATGACAAGCTGATCTCGGTGGTGATCGCGGACAGGGACAACGTGCATGTGAATCGGGAGCAGATCTCCAAGGTGCTCGATGCGGTCCAGGCGCATGCACGTCAATTTCCCTGGCCGGGATTGTGTCTGCTGCGCAAACTCTCCTCGATATCGTTGTGCGAATCCTTGGGCGCCGAAGGGGATCAGCTGGCGGGCGCGCAACTGCATCCGCATGCGGGGCAAATACTGGAACATCTGTTGGATGACTTTGTGCGTGAGCTCGGGCTGGAGTGCACTTGCTCGCCGCAGCTGTTCACAGTGATCCAGGAGCTGTTGCAGTCGGAGCTGAGCGAGAACCGCCAGCTGGCCTATTCCATAATGCGCAAGCTGCTGCTCAGCATTGAGAAGTGCAAGGAGAATATTAAGGATTGCGACAAGGACTGTCCACAGGTGCAGGCGGCGCTGAGGTGCGTGGAGCCCCACTGGCCGGCCTATATTGTCATCATGGAGCAGCTGGAGCAGCAGGATTCGCACTTGGTGCTGCCCATGCTGAGCGGCCAGCTGCCACGCTTTGTGGCAAGCAGCCAGGACAACGATTGGCTCAGCTGGCTGCGAATCCTGTATCTGAGACTAGTCGATAATCACAACAAGCTTGTCGTGCGCTGGACTCTGGAATACTTTCTGCTGCACTCCAACATCACGGAGCTGCGCCGTGTCAATCTGTTGACCAAATTCCTGGATGCCACCAACAAAACTGAGCTGTACGATGCCGAGGATTACATGCTGCCGGAGCTAAATATCAAGGCGTTTGTCCAGAATAGTGGCACGCTCCAGTTTCTCGAGTCGCTGGTTACTGTGCCCTGGCTGAGTCTGCCCCTGCTGCACTGGCTGCGCAGCATGCATCCTCGCCAGCCGCATGTGGCCAAGAGTTTGCTCTTGAAGATTTGTGGGCGTGTCAGATCGTTGCAGCATGAAACTCTGCGTTATGAGGCGCAAAATCGCATGTTCGATATATTCGAGGTGAGTTTGAGTCCGTTTCAAATTGAGGTGAGTTTGAGCCCATTTCAAGTTGAGATTATGCGCTTTTGAGGTTATGTGTATAAGGTTTTGAGGTTAGGTCTCATAAAATACGGAACAGTGTTGCAAAAGCGTAGAGCAACTTTTTGGCATAAATCTCTAACCGCTTGTTCTGATTAATTGATTGACTGACTGATGATGAACGATTAGCCTAAGCCATAAGAGATATAAAGGTGAACTTTTTACCTTTAAGATTGATGAGATTTTCCGAAATTGTCGTTAACGGTGCAGAAAATCCACAACCTATTAATATATTCACACTCTTTTATTTCAGCCCACAATTGAAAGCTTCTCGCTGGGCGATTATATACAGTTTATGAAGGCGCTTTGCAGCACAAGTGATAATTTTTGTAGGGATCACAAACGTTTTACATCAAAAATTGCGAATTGCACAAATATCACTGAGGAAATGGTCTATTTCGACAAAGCCCTGTTCACAACGATTTATCGCACAGGTAAAACCAACCATAGTTTCAACTTACCCAGATTTAATGGAACTATATTATTTGTTCAGATGTCAAGGTAGGCATCGAGCTGCATAAGCAACTGAGCCAGTTGCCCCGGGCTCAGCATGGCTGGTGGCGTCTATTCTCTTTCTTTTTCAGCCTGAAACTCGAGTGTCCCAGTGAACGAATGCATATACTCGACTTTTATCAGGAGATATACGATTTGAACATAGATGTGCTCGAGCGCATCACAGATCTCAAAGAACTGCAGCAATATCTAGTCGAAAAACTCAAATGTGAAACGGAGGAGGAGATAAGTTTTGTGCAGCACCGAGCTGTCGATTGGTTTACCTGTGAGAAACTCATCACTTGGAAGCAACTGGACGAAATGAGCATCAAGCCCGGGGACTTAGTTAGTCAAGGCACCATTCTAACAGCCCAACGTATAGCGACTTTGTTAAACAACATTGAGGCCAGATTAGAGGATGAGAGCATACTTAAAGCCCTAATGGCATATCTAAAACAATATCCGGACAGCGTTTTGGTGTAAGTCTCTGTCTCAGTATTTGATACAATAGATCGATTGCAGAGTTAATTTAGCCACGTCTTTCCGTCCGTCTGTATAAACGGGGCTAGCTCAGAGCTTAAGCTACTTCCCAATATAGCCAAGTTGTTTGATATATACAGATTAGGAAAAGATTACAGGAAACAGGGTATCATTTAGTCGATCAGTTACAGTCTAACTTGCTACCACTTACCCTCTTGCAGTGCCACGGCCATTGTGAAGTACGCCTCTACGCATTGGGCCATTGAGGAAAGCGATCAGATCCTAAACGAGGTGCTCGAGGCGAGCCAGTTCCTGAACATAAACGTCCTGTGCTGCACAAAGAGCGTGCCCACAGCGCTGCTAATACGCGGCGTACTCTCGGGCAATCCACTCTCAGGCGAAAAATGGTAAGTAGAGCAGTTCGTATTTCAATCTCAACTAATGCTCCGTATTTGTCCACACAGCATCGAGTATGGTTATCTGATCAATCAGTATAATTATTTCTTCACCAGCTGTAGAAAGCGCGATAGTTATATTAATTTTGTTATTGAAGGTAAAACCGATACGAACCCACTTCTAGAGGAACTGCTGCGCATCAACAACGAGATGACCGAGAAGAAACAGCACTATCTGGATAACTCCAAGGAGCATCGCATCAAAATGCGCATCGCCAGGGCATTGCTGAGGATCACATTCAAAAGCTCCAGCTTCTGGTCGGATCAGTTGTGGCTGGCGCTTTTGGCCGCCAACGAGCGGGAGAATATTCGATATATGTACGAGTGCCTGGTGGCTCGTTGTCTGCCCAACGTGGAGCTGCTATTGAAGCGTCTGCAGCAGTTGGCCGCGCTCAAGTCCTGCCAGCAGCTGTCCTTGATCTCCGTGCTGCACATCTACTGCCTCAGCAAGTACAATCAGATCAAGGTCGAGCAGCTGCAGCGCATTGTCGATCTGCTATTGCCGCTTACGATGACCAAGGATCTGGAGATCAGACTGTTCGCCCAACTGGTTTTGCACAGGCTGCTGGTGCAGTTCGAGGACAGCAAGTATAAATAGCTTGACAACATCATTGAACCTGATTCACGGGCTCACATTCCACTTTCCAGCATCAAGCTGCCTGGCGTTACCAACATGAAGCTGGCCATTGAGGGCAGCCTGGGCCACAAGCTTCTCGAATGCCAGCACGAGGGCCGCCTGCTGCTGCCCAAGATTTGCTACCAGACTCCAGATGGGCTACAGGCAGCCGATTTCATACTATATATGACATATGCGCCGTGCGACGAATACTTTGCCGATGCGCTGCGGCCGAATATGAAACTGAAATCGGAGCTGGGCAAATATCGCAGCAGTCTCAAGATTAAAGTTGTGCCGGGCTAGTCAGCTATCCAGGGATACCCTGCAGATTGTTTAAGAAATTTTAAATGATTTATACGATATTGAAGAATTTAAATACATACCATACTTTTTATAGAATAGGCTGCACTTAAATTGCTAGTTCTAAGCGTAAAATATTCTTTTGACAAAAACTAAAAAATAAATACATATAACATATTCAAATATTAGTAAATCAAATATTTAACAAAAAATGAAAACCAATTGCAGTTGTACTTAAAATTTGTGTATATAATTGCAATAAAAAAAAAAAATAAAAACCAAATTGTATAAAAACTACTTTTTAAAAAATTTCAATGGCTTTTTGTTGTTGTTTTAATACATATATAACTACATAAAATCTTACAAATTTTGCTCGCATCTCTTCATTTTTTTTTTTTTTTGGAAAATAATTTTCACATGCACACACAACGTATATATGGAAATTTTGGGCGCACTCTGTGTACAATATTGTGTTATTATTATTAACTATTTAAAATAAGAAAACTTGTAAAATTGGTTGTACTAACGGCGTCTGCGTCTAATAAACGCCAAACGCTCTATATTGTATATATAATTGGTAATTGTTTTATAACTTTTTCAGCATTTTTGCTTTTGCTGTGGCTTTCAGTTTTTAGTTTTTGTTTTGGGTTGATTTTGAGGCCAAATAATGAGTTGGTTTGTTGTACAAAAGATTTGATTTGCATTCGCACAGCTTTGGGATTTTTTGTTTGCGCAGAGACAGAGTATAAAATTAGGTTTAATGAAACAACCAACAAAACGTGCTGGCAATGGCCATAATATCGGGCCAAACAGGCACTAGAAATCCATGGAAACATTTGAATTGACCGGCACATTGGCGCTGCAGTTGGGCAAGGCCATCATATCAGCAGCTGCCGCCTGATCCGACGTCTCCTGCAGCTCTGCAAAGATAATTAAAACACATTCAACAGGTAATTGGAGGGTTTGTGTTCGGGTGCAGCAGCTCCTACCTGGTGGCAGATGCAGCTTCTCAATGACAAACTTCTTGCGGCGCAGCTTAAATGCCAGATCTGTGGTCTCGGGCATGTGCACAGCCAGCGTATTAATGGCGCTCATCTTGTGCAGATGCAACAGGCCGCTGTACTCCTTGAAGGCCGGATGCGTTTCACGCTCAGAGCCGGCAAACGATTCCAGCTCAATGGCATAGTCCACCAATTGACGTATCTTGGGCACCAAGCTCGTTTCCTGTATCAATCATTAAATCAGTAGCTGCTCAAGATGTCGCAAATTTCCGTGAATCTATTGTTTACTCACATATTTGGCTATCAGATGCATGGGCATTGTGATGAAACAGACGGCGGTACAGCTGCGCACGCTGGCGCGCAATATGGTTAGAAACTTGAGTAGATCCTCGGCAAAGTGCTCATCGTACCAGAGTGGCGAGCCCAGCGAGGTGAGGCAGACGCGGCACAGATTCTTCTGCTGCACATTGGTGCCCGGCTCGAAGCTCTCGTCGTTCAGCAGCAGCTGCAGATAGTCGAGCAGGCGGCCATAGCGTGGATTGTAGAAGAAATGTGGCTGAGCGGCTGGCGGCGATGCTGTTGCAGTTGCCGTCGCAGTTGCAGTTGCAGTTGCAGTTGTTGTTGCGGCTGTGCTTGTTGCATTGTTGGCAGTGCTGCTGTCCGTGGTAGCATTGTCATTGTTGTTGTTGTTGTTGTTATTGTTGTTGCTGGCAGTGCTTTGGGCCTCGAGCTGAACAACTGGAGCTGCTTCATCGCCGCTAGCAGCAGCAGTTGGCTCCAGCGAGCTGGTGGAGTTGCATATGTCATCCTCTTGGACAACAATGTTGGCTTTGTTGTTGTCATCCCAGATGGTGGCTTGGGCATAGGAGAGCATCATCGGTTCCATGTGCTCCATCAAGTTAAAATGATGTCCAATTTTGGCAGTGGCCTGCTCCGAATTGACCAGCGGCAAGTCGCTGTAGCGAAAGGCAATGCGCAGCCCATTCTTATCCGCCGGCTGCTCTTGCTCCTGGCGCTGCTCCTGCTCCACCTCCTCGTCGGTCAGCGGCTTGGGCAGACGACGCAGCATTTCCGCTGGCAAATCGTCCAGGCTGCCCAGAAATATCTCCTGCTTGGACAGCACGCCCTCCGCCAAGAAGTACTTGACCAGCACCTTGGCGTGCGTCATAAATCGATCCTCCTCTGCGCGAACAACAGTTAGAATATCAGATAGCCATTACTGCGTTTCGCAGTTTCCACTTACCAATCAGGCATATCGAGCCGATGGGCAGTCCGCCGCCTAAAATCAGATCGAGCGATGGATTACCGCTGGAGGTGATCACCTGGGCGGTGTGGGGGCTTGTGCGTGTGCCACGGATTGGTTTTTGCACGGTCCGTTTGCGAAAACTCGTCATGTCTCAACAATTTTCCACTATTGCGTTACGTTTATCAGTTCTCTTTTTTGTTTGCCGGGAAAAAGAAGACGGAATGTGTGCAAGGGAAAAATGTGCTAAAAATGGACACCAGCCCGACTTGGTATTAAATACTTGAATCTTTTTTGACAAATATCTATGCTTAATGCGTTAATAGCCTGATCTTTATTTGATTAAATCACTGTATAAATGTAAAAAAATATAAATGCAAATGTAAATTATATAAAATTGTCATTCAATGTGCACTTTCAAGTCGTGGTGACAGTTCTAACTATGCTTTTAAATTCATGTGTGCAAATTGCCTTCAAATCGACCGACCGCCACAGCATGTTGTTGAAATTCCTTCAGATTTTTCTACACTTTGTTGTTGTGCGATGTTTACGGACACTGCGATGCTTATAGCAATTGCTGTCAAACGGTTTTGCTTAGCAATGCACAGCGGCTGCCAAACTGTTGATGAACATTTCAGTTTTGTGGATTTGATAATTTAAGCACAATGTAAAACAAATTATTATTAATTTTTTACTTTTTAATTGTTCATATGTGTAATCTGTGTTAATTGTACTGCACAATTACTGTACCAAGGCGGCTGGTGTCCTGACAAGGACCATTTTGGCATATTGTTGAGTTTATATCTGGCGATGTTCACAGCAATTTCCTTGAAACTGTATGGCTGAGCAATGCACAGAGGCTGTAAAACTTTTTTGAACATTTAAAATTCTTACCAATCTAAATTAAACTGAATAATTTTTGTTTCTTGTGTGCGTTATACCGAATATTTACTGTAGCCAGTCGGCTTGTGTCCTGGCTACAAAAGCAACCGTTTAGCAAATCAAACATGCTGCGGGTTATCCTTAAGCGTGTGTGGCAGCTGGCACGCCCCGCGTCCTCTGAAAGGATAATTGCGCCCATTTGCGCAAAAAGGATGCGGCGGCTGTTGTTTTAATTACAGGTTACAGCCTGTACAAAGGACTAACAAGGATAATGATGAAAAGGCAAATGGAAAATGCTCCGCAAGACACCATCCGAAAGAGTTAAGCGACGGCTCCAAAGTCGAATTGAAAAATGTGAAATCTCTGCGTGGACTTTCCTGGAAGCCACAGGACACGCAACATGGCAAAAAAACAGTAAAAAGGACGCAGGACATGCAGTCAAATGGCGTCAGTCTTCTGCGTGGGAAAGGTAAACAGCAAGAGGACAATAAATAATGGGCTGTGCACAGGCAGAAAGGACAATACAGGACAATAATTATTGATTGCAGGCGACACACTGGCACACACACACACGCACACATAGCCAAATCCTGCCGAATTGCAAAACAAGGAGAACGAGCGCCCATTAAAGTGTTTGCCAAAGGATTGCGTGTCCTGCGCGTTGCACAGGACTTGTGTAATTTATGGCCAGGACTGACCAGCATGCCCAGCCGCAGCAGCTGGCACCACCCGTCGGCGCAAACCGAACGTGGTCAACTCCGGTAGGGGCAGCAGTTAGAAGAAGAAGTAAACCCATTGTTGAATCCTTTGACTCCTTTGACTCATTTAATTACGAATTTATGTGGCATGGCCAATGCGTTTGGACATGGCCGACGGCGCAGGCGCAACAAATCCATATTTGACTGGCAATAATCACGCGGCGGCGGCAGGACGAAAAGGATAGTGAAAGTGTGCGGCAAAGGGGCTACAATAAAAACATGTGCACACAAGAAAGAAGAAAATCTAAATATAAACGACGCGTGGCCGTGTCCTTTTTTACTAAGCACAACAAGTGTTAAGCATGTGACTGCCAAACTGTGGCAGCTATTGCACTCAAACTGTGAATGGAAAATGTAGCTATTGATTGACTGATTGAGTGATTGACTGACTGATGAGCTAAGCAAAGAGCCTTCTCAACTAGCTAACTAAATATTCAGCGTAGAGCTTAACTTATCTGTTGCAGCGGACAAGGTGTTCCTTAGGAAAATTCCTAGTGTAGTTACGGAAAATTGGTGGAAAACGGTTGAGCGTAAATGTTTTGATCCCACGTGATTTTAAACTTATATACAAAGAGGTTTGTTTGCGGAAAATTGTTTGGATGGAAATTTTTCCTTTTAGCCAATTGACTTCAAAAGCATTTTCAAATATTAACATAAAACAAGATGGGTTCCACTGGTCCCAGTAAATCCACAGCTTCGCGTGGAAATGGATGCTCAAGATTATTTTGGATATGTTTTTAATCGTCCGTCGGAAAATGGTGCGGAAAGTTTTAATGTTAGCTATAATATCTGGTTTCAGAAAATCCACAGTTTTGCGTGGAAACGGGAAATCAAGTTAATTTAAATATGTTTTTTAATCTAAAAGGCTGCCAAAGGCTGCGAAAACTTGTTAAATACAATTTGAATTGCTTTGTCCGTGCAATGCCGGTCTATTTCGGGCATTACCAGCTATATATCATTGTATACTGTTTCCCCAAATCCACTGTTCTGCGTGAAAATGGAATCCATGTCAGTTAAAAGACGTTCTCTAATCCACGGCCGGCAAAGGGTGCGTACAATTTTTGGATATAAATCGAACACTTTGCCCGTGCAATGCCGGGCTATATCAGCTATATAGCATTGGATGCCAGGACTCGCGCTGCATATGTGATAAATGGCTTGGTCCTTCGCCAGCTGACAGGAAGTCAAACGACAAATTAACTCGACTAAACTACACGCGGCGGCGCACATTTTCGGT